ATATGCCTTTGCGGCTAATTAAATTAGTAGAATACGATTGATTCTGAACTATCGAGAAGAATTAACGAAATTTTTTGCTAGGAATTAGCGAACATCTAACACCAGTTAGTTGGATGACGATTTATTTGCAAACAAAATTCCTAGAACTTAATTTAAGATACATTACAAATAACATGCATTCTGCAGTACGCAAAGCGTCATTTATTTAGGCCATTAACGGACGCTTACTGCAAGACCATTGGATCAATCAGTTGGGTGAACGATATATTTGTAAGTACTTTTTCAACTTATCCAATATTATTTTGAGAATCATATAAAGAATTTTCCTTCGATTCGTGTTTTGTTCAGATTTGCTTTCACTATTTTCTTTTGCAGCTGAACGAAAGTCATTATATCCACATTAAAATAGGCCGACGTGTCGGCAGCACTAATTTTCTCGCTCAACAAAGTGTAATGTTGATAGTTTCACTAGATAAGTATATTGATTGAGAGATTCAACTTTTCTTTCAATTAAGTCTCATTTTTAGCTTCACTTCTGTTTGCGGTCACGTTACAGTTGCTTCTTGTTCTTTTACTTGTTCATGGGATTCGGACAGAACGCCGCTCATTTTTGCTACCTTTTATTGTATTCTCATTGATCGCAGTACTTCTCGGCTTTATCCAGGTAGCTATTTAATGGTTATATTTATCTTGAAATTTAATATAATTACCTCCTTTATAAAATTGTTTTTGCTTTTCCAATATTAATCCTAAATAGCTTTAAATATTTATAGATCGGGAATGATTTATTCGGTTTCATGCATCCTTCGTCATTAGCACACTTAATGTACGACAACAAGTTAGTTCCTTGTTTTTATTCATTGATAGCCTTCATATATATATATATATATAGCGTAGCGTTATTTATCTTTCATTTATATAATTTATTTGTAGTCAGTTCTTTTCCCATCTGATTGGGACACTGTTTCAATTATGGTGCGTTGCGACTGTATGGCGATGCTATGGTTTTCTGGGAGACAAGAAGGTTATTTTTAGAGCTTTTTGTAAAAGTGTGGTTTTTTTTTTTGATTATTTTGGTACTGGGCAGTGCAGAAAGATGTAATCGATGAATTAGTTTTGCTGACATTGAGATCATGTTAATCATATATGCATTAGTCAGACGTGGTTTTATTCGGAAGCACCCATTATTCAATTCAGTTTATTCCATGCACATGCTTTTCAGTCTTGGCTTGAAAGAAGGAAAAATTTCTCTTTAGCTTATTATTAGTTTGAAATATTTGCACAAATCATTTTTGATAATCAAATTTGCGTTCGTATGTGGCATAAAGATGTAAATTTCCTTAAAGTCATAAATGCATACGTTTTAGGTTGTGCGACACATTGGAGAGCAACTTTCGACGACTCAGATGGCATTTCATTATGACGATATTCCTCATGAATACATTACGATGTCACAACCTCCACCGTATGCCGATACTGTGATTAGCATAGATAAAGAACCTCTTACGACATAATAGCTGAATTTTTCGACCACGCAAATCCCAGATGAAAATCTTATGCGTATGTGACTTATGCATTTGCGTATATTTTCTCCATTGAAATTTATGGAAATCTTTTTATCCTTTTTGATAATTTTTTTCCGTTGTCAGATCGCTGTTTCTCAATAATTTCGGGTTCTCAGGAATTTCTTTAATAGGCTTATAGAATGATTACAACCTATACTTCCTGTTAAACCAACTCTAAGTTTTATCTCTTCTCTGGATTATCCATCGATTTTTAACTTAAATCCTTAATTTTCTTATATTATATTATTATTAGTGTGATTCGGATTTATTAGACGAGTTTTTTTTTTAGTGGAGTTCATGAAATAATGTAAGTAAGGAGTAGAATTTTTGGAAAATTCACATGAATTTAAACATGTGACATATACTGACTGATGTCAGCAGTTCAACTGAACTATATTTTCTCCTGAAAATTTATTTGATTTGGAGTAAAACTCTAGCTTTTTATCTTTCTGTTTTATTCACCATAATGGGATAACTCCAACTAAAATAAGAAGAGGAGCAAAAAATTCGTTGATTTCTTCATCCATGTTTAATATGTCACTCCTAGTTTTACGTCAAAAATATTCTCTTCAATGTAAACGTCATTTTAAACGTGACTCTTTGTGGTCGTTTTCTGCATAATGAAGGAAATTCTATGTTTTATTCATTAAGAAATGAACATTAGAATTGGTTACTGAGTTTCGCCTTTAAAATTTGGAAAGAGGATTTTAAAATATCCTGAGCAAAAGGTTTGATTCTTGACAGCATTTGTATCTTAAGAGAGATCTCGCTATTCTGCTGCGAGAGTCTTGGTTTCATTTTTAAAATCACTTTAGACTTATTACTCTCATTTTTTATATGTTGAATAAAACATTGGTTGTTGATGGTTTTTCATGTGAATAGTAAACGGAAGTTTTTAAAACTAATATTGATGAGATTTATACTGTCTACGACAGCGGTTTTGTCATGTTTTTTTTTTTTTTATTTAATTTAAAGTCAGTTTGTTAATAATTGCAAATGTGCGAACTCGGAATTTCGAAATGTAAGGTTCTTCATTGATCTGTCACGATTTAATATCTGTTTGGCATCAGATATTTTCAGATAACGATTAGAAAACCGTATTAGGTTTCTGGACTTTCCCTCCGGCAGTTGGCCGAGAAATAGAAAACTTTTTTTTTGGGATTTAAGTTTGCACGGCGCGACCAATCGTGTGTCTTTCGTACGGTGCATTGCTTGGGAGAATACAGTCTTCCATTTTTCGTTTTATGCTGTTTGTGGATGACACTTAGGATATGAGGACTGTTCTCGAGACTCGAACATGTAAGTAATGAGAACAGTTAATACCATTGGTAGGTGCCTTAAGTAATCAATTTACATTCCTCGCAAACGCTGCATATATAAAGCTTCGGTAGATGACATTTTGTAACGTTCTGTGAGTATTGTTGTTGTTATTTCTATTCTTGTTGTTCTTTTATTATTATTATTATTAATGAATAATTATTGTTGATTGTTATTGTTGTCATTGTCGTTATTATGATTAATTATCATTTTTACTATTATTATTGTTATTTATTGTTGTTATTAATGCCTACTTCACCCACATATTTCATATGTTTTTAAACATTGCAGATTTCAAGGAACTTTAATGAGTGCAATTTATAGTTAGCTGGAATGGTACTATCAAAAATTGCAGCCTTTTGTGTTATAGCTTTTGTTAAAGCCATCGAATTAACGTTTGAGTTATCAGACAGTGCGAATCAGTGTTTTTTTGAGGATATCAAAGATGGCATTGACTGCGTGATTGAATATCAGGTGCTATATTTCAGTTGTCTTTATGAGGTCAAATAATGTTGTGAATGGTTTTCGTGTCATTCTTTAATGATGAAAACCCTTTAATTTATTAGAACATTTCATAACTTTCTTTTGGAATTATTATCTCCTTGCAATCTCTTTAACTTAAAAATTTTAGAACCAATTGATTATGGATGTGATCTTTTGCACTTCACATGATTTCATATCAACTTGATTTGAATAGATTAGAAAAATACAATATACATTTTCATGTATGATTATTTTCAGGTAGTAACAGGTGGTCAGTATGATGTAGATATGACGCTTGAAGATAAGGAAGGTAAAATCTTATATAAAGGTGTCAAAAAGCAGTATGACAGTTTTTCATGGAAAACAGAAACAGAAGGAACATATAAGGTTTTTTTTTTTTTTTTTTTCATTAAATTCTGAAATCCCTTGAATATAAAGTCAAGTTTTATGGAAAAGTTGTCGCTGTTGAAAATTATATTAGAAAATCATTAAGATTTCTGCCTTAATCGAATGAGACGTGTAGATTTTCTTTAATTTTCTTTCACCTCATATTTTTTAGGCATGCTTCTCAAATGAATTCTCAACTTTTTCACATAAAGTAGTCTACATGGATTGGCAAAAAGGAGATGAGGGTCAACTTTTACCAAGTATAGTTTCCATTTTAGCTTAGAAACTGACAACATTCTTTCTCCTTGTTTTCATATCAACTTGATTTGAGTAGATCAGAAAAATGAACTGAAATTCCATTTTTGGTATGTCAGACATCTCCTTATAGTAGAATAATCCAATTCAATTCAGATGAAACCTTACATTCAGATGTCGATAGGGTAACTTCACGAATAGCAGCCATGACGCAACTTGAAACATCTGCATCAGCTATTGGTGATCGGTTGAGGCTAATTGATGATTATCAAACACATCACCGATTAAGAGAAGCTACTGGGCGTAAGCGCGCGGAGGACCTCAATGAGCGCGTTTTACTATGGTCTTTGGGACAAACGGCTATTATTATTACTTTGGGAATTGCACAGGTAACATTTGATTGGCTTTTTTTTTTTTTGTTATTGTTGTTCTAAGGCCATACAAACATGAATTTTGCATCTTTTAATTTATGAGTTGTCTTCACTAAATGGTAAGACTTTGTTGAATTATTATGCTATCACTCTTTTAAAACACAGAATAAATGTTCATTCCAAAGTATTAATATTCACAGAAAATACACTACTAATTCTTGGTAATGACTGGTGGTGTAGAATCTGTTAAATCCGAAATAAAAATATGTTTAGTTATGAAAGGTGTTCAAGGGAAAATAACTTTGGAAAGGAAAGTTGGAAAAACTGAAAACCACACGTACCTCTGAGACAATGCTTTAACTAGATTCTAACTAAATATGTATTTTTTTTTTGATAACTCGTTCTAGCTGGAGTAGCAAATGTGAGCGAAAAACTATAATTACAATTTACACTTACAAAGTGATGTGATTCGAACGAAAAGTCCATTAACTGTATTCATTTACAGGTGCTCCTACTTCGTTCATTTTTCACCGAGAAACGAACGATCTTCTGATTTGCTGCTTTGTAGTAAATACTTTGCCTTCTTATAATTCTTGTTTATTATTTACGCTTTCGCCAGACCTCATTTGGTTTGAACAATCGCACGACTGGTCAGTAGATTGTTTTTCGGAGGTATTTTCGGGATAAGTTCCATCCCATCCTGAGGTTGTGTCGGAATATTCTCCAATTTACTAGTATACTTCTGAAATTATTCACTGTATAACTTCGTATATATTAAATTATAATATAAGTTATGATAAAACCAGTGAAGAAAAATATTTGCTCTGAACATTACCTACATGAATCTGTTTTAGAAATCACTACTTTTATTTGGAAATTTTTAAAACAAGTTACTGAAAATTGTTGGATCTTATAGTTTATAGTTCTTCATATGTCGTATATTTTATTTTACATCATTTTTGCTCCTATTACTATGCGGCGCAGAAGTCGTCCTTTTTCTTTTTTCTTTAACCCATGGGAAATACAGAGAACTTTCTAAAACCTCCCGAAAACTTCTCACGTTTTAAAAACCATCTGTTTTGCTATAGTTTGAATATATATATTTCATTGTTGTGTGGACATTCGGTAGTAGGCTTTCGTTGATAAGCAAATGTAACTGTAACAAAGGAATGAAAATCTTTAGTCTTTTCATGATTCAAAATTTGGAAATTAAGAAATATTGATAGCGAATTATCTTTACTCTTAAGTTCGAGAAAATTTAGTATTGCAATTATTTGAATTATATGTTATTATCACTCAACTTATTTTTGATCACCAGTTGTGTCTCATTTTTTAGAAATAACTTAAGAGTAAAGATGGTATAGCGCAATGAAAATTCCTATTCATGGCAAAGAAACCTGCACAAAATCGGCATAATAGCAGTAAACATTCAGAGGTTGAAGATGCTGGAGCACAAACTGGCGCATTGCCTTTAATGTCTGAAATTTGTAAAGATGAGGGAAGAGTGATACATTCCACACTAAGAGAAGATTGACATCGCACACTCTTGATAACTTTTGGAAATTGCATGTATTCATTTCAGATGAAGAACGGTTACATTATAAATAAAGTCACCTTGTTATGGTCTTGTGTCCGTGCCCATTTGATCTGTTCAATGAGAGTTGAATCACTAAAGTGAAAATAATGTAGTCCTTCTTCTAGATCGGCGTAAAAATGTTCATAATAATCAGAGAACGATTTGAAAACGATGCTATCTCCAGCCAGCAAAAAAGGAAAACGATACGCAGCAACCGTTCCATCAATGCTTAGTATAAATTTGTACTGGAATTCCATTTTTTTCATTTCATTTCAAGATTTAAGTGGTACTACAAGTAATCAATATATGAATAAAACCAGTATGAACCTCGAAGAAGTTAGGGAACGGCATTGTTTCAACCGTCGGCGTGTGCTGGGATTCGTTGAAGAAGAAATATCTCGTAATTCCTGCATCCAGAAAATTAGGATGTAGTTTTGATAATTGCGCTATATGAAGTCGCAGCTATAATAAAAGCTCCATTTATTCGGGAATAAGCTGGTAAAACCTTCAGCATTAAGGCATATATTATATAGACAAAATGGTTGTATTTTTTTTTGGGATCGATCTAACTTTAAAACAGTTGCAGGAAAGCTATTATTTGAAATGAAACACAGTATACCTTACTAGAATCTCGACCTCGAAACACAGCTTTATCTTTTTTTGTTTCCATTTATAATGTTTTTCACCTCTTACAGAATGTATGTCGAGTATTACCGATTCCATAGAGTCAATTACTGATTTCATTAGCTCATACGTTGGCATTACGATATCGGTTGTATCTTAAATTATAAGTTGTGCACTGTTTCCATAGAATTGTAATGGTTTTTGCAAATTTAGAAAGATCAACATATTCCAAGTCATAATATGCAAATCACAGTTTTGTTTGCATTACTCAGTTTATTAAATTTTATTGTAAAAATTTTGTACCTTTGGAACCACACCAGCTAATCATTGGAACAAGGTCACTTTCTGCCTTTGCAAGCGGCCAGTCGCCAAGATTGAAGATAAATTCTGTATTTGGCAAATACATTTTTCTCATCAATGACGTGAATGCTGCATCAACAAATATCCGGAAACCCGTATATTCACCAAAACACTGTCTATACAACTGAAGATGAGCACATAATTTTAAAATATGAATTGGTTTTTGTTTTTCCCCATAAAACTGCTCTTTTGTTGGAGTCTGATTGCAAAGGAGAAAAAGTGACTACAGTCATTTGAACAGCGTTAGTAATGTAGAAAGAATTACCGAATCAAACGAAAAGATTCACCTAAATTTGGTCCGATTGTAATTTGGAAGTGGTTTCAATTATATCAAAGATCGATTGAGAAAGTCTATAACACAAACCCGTAGAAAAGGTGTAGAATTTCAATTACTTAGAAACATTTACATTATTTTCAATGATTTGATAATGACATAATGCACTGCCACGGCGATGTTGCGGACTTGCCCATTTCTTTTTTACTATCGTTAATACTTCTTCAAAATTAATCGTAGACCATTGACTTAAATCACTATCAAGCTGTGAATGTTGTGATGTACAACCAGATTCCTGCATCCACTGCGAAACGATCCCTTTCGGACAATCACAGTATTCCGAATAAAGCAAACTTCCATCAGCTAAATAACGTCATAACGTTGGAGAACTGCAATGCGTTTAAAAATCGCAGATATCGTAAAGGATAGAAATCAAATGTAAGATGTCATCTGTGTATGCATGTGAGTTTATCATTAACTAATGAATACCAAACCTTTCTTAATTACAATTGGGGAGTCGCACAATGGGACACCGTTTGGAGTATGAATATTGATAACCATCTGTAGACAAGAAGACCATAACCGCAATCGTAGCACATACGAGCCGTCATAATAATCAAGTAATTGGAACCTATAATTCTTCATGACATCTTAAAATCATAACGAATATTTATATTAAAAATAGTACTTTGAGCAATAGATTTAAGAAGCAGCTCGCTGCTGCAGAAAAACTAACCGATGACGACAAGATCCCGAAATAGATACTTTTAAAGGGCCTACAGATTGTGTAATATTAGTTTCGCCATACCGCAACTGTATATGTAAATAGCGAACCGGCAAATCAAGTTTAAGTGCACCGAAACAGAGAGCATTTTCAGCTCCTTTGGTGAATGATGAAATGAACAAACCAGCGGCAAACAAAAAATAATAAGACATTTCCTATCATCTGAAACTGATGTTTCTTTAAATTTTCCTGTAGATATATAATAGTTACTAACGAGGGAACGGTAACTGGGAGACAGGTAAAATGCTCCCCATCAGACCTTTACTGTTGCGTGAAATTTGTGCTTACACAAGATCGTCAGTAAATATTCATTCTAACACTACTCATATATCCGTTAATTCTAATCAGTTTAGACAGTGCTTTTGAAAAAAACATAGGAGTAGAACTTTCTAGTTATGAGAATGAAAACTGAAATCAATAAAAACCATAAAATGATAGTGAGCTTTCCAATTTGACAAATTATGAGTGGATCCAAAAAACTAAATACTGTGTGACAATGAATTATTCATGTGAATCAAAAAGTGTTTTGTTGTAGAATAGAAAAAATCCAACTTTATCCAACTTTCAAACTTACAACAAACAAACAACAAAGGATAACAAACAGAGAACATGTAGTCTCATCAAAAGCTACTCAAGTCCGAACAATCCAAGTTTTCAAGTTAACTTTAAAACTTCATTACTTCTGAATCTTTCCTTACAAATACACACACAATAAACGCTACATTCCATGAGGCTAGAAAACTTATTGAATATGGAAATTTGACAAATTATGAGTGGATCTAAAAACATAGCGTGATTGATGGTAGTGAGAGACTGAATGCTCTAATAACTTCTATCATCAGCTTCTTCCTTTATCTGCAAAAACTATACATTTTATTTGTTTTAAAGTTTGTAATCGACCTTTCGACTCTATATCATTTTTTGATTTCAACTTCTGTTTGTTAACTTCTATCAGTGACATCAAACCGGTAATTAGTTCGTTTACCAAAAGCTTGATTCAGGAGACTGGTCCTCAGCTTAGATATTTAGGCACATTAATTGCTTGCATAATGACTTCAATAATAATTTGGACAAGTATAAAATCAGAGCTCTAAATCTATTTCAGATTAAAAAAACAAATTAATGACACTAATGCGCTCAAGGCAAGCTGATAAGAAACTTGAAAAACAAACTCTTGCTAAAAATAATCGAGATATTTCGAATTCAATTCAAAACGAAGTATTAAACATTCAAACTGATTCCGTTTTAGGACCTTGACAATTCAGTACAAAAAATTATTTTGAAACTGAATATTCAAACATGTTATACCTTTTTTTTCTTGTATTTCTTGTGTGGTGGGCCATCTTTATTCTGTTCATTTCCAGTCTCATTTATAGTATCAGAACCTTTATCAGTACCACCATCGCTGCCTTCAGAAAATTTCCGTTTCTTAGAACTTTTTACTGTTGCATCAGCACTAGAATCGTATCGACTTGTGGTGCTGCAATGCACATAAAAAATGGGAAATCTTGAAACCTGATGAACTCGGAAAACTGAAAAATGAAATAATTATTGATATAAACTTTATAAGAAACATGCGGGATGAAATATATCTTGGAAAAGAATAGAAATATAGCTTGCAATACTGGATAATGAAAAACAACTAAATTACCTTTTATATGTATAACTTTCATGTTGAGTAGGTTTCCCTGTTATCCTCTTTGGTCCTCGTTCCTGCTCCATTCTAATAAATGTTTCAATATAAGCTCGACTTTTTTCTCCAGGCTCAGTTCCCAATGACTCATCCGCAAGTGCATCGATTCTAGTTGCTAGCGACACTTTTGCTGCCAATTTACGAGCTACCTAATAGTTAGCTTAGAATAAAAAACAATCAACAACGCAGTTAAACATTTCATTCATCAAAAAAAATATATAATTGCTGTTACCTTGCCCTTGATTTTTATATTAGCTTGACCAATAAGATGGGCATGGTAAATGAGGCCGTATTTAGGAGTATCTCGTTTCGTTTTCAGCGCTCGAAAAAGTGCTTTTTCTGCTCCCAGTATTTGCACTGTCGATGCTGGGTATTTCGCAAGACTCACCAGTGATCCAGCATGAGAAATTAACCTGGCACCAACCAATTCACCAAGTAAAATAGTAAGATTCGGTGCAAGCACCATCATTCGATTCTTCAAGTAATCTGCCAACTCGGAACGATAATTTGTCAATTCAATAATCTAAAAAAGTAATTATTATCAAAAACATTTTCATACCAAGTTCAAAGAAATGTTTGGTCAACTATTCTATTTGTTTCATGACGAATAATTTCACTAATTCACAATGAATCTCAAATTTACCTGTTCGCATAATCCTTTTATGTGCAAAGTATCAGACTCGGATATATCGGTTCCCATACTAATTTCTGCTTCCTGTTTAACACGTGCTTCCAACTCTGGTGGCAATATATCAGATAAATCACAGTTTGTAGCATTTGATCTCATTCCCATAGTTTTCACAGTCTAAACAAAAATGAGACTACAGAAATCACACAACATTCCGGATTAAAAAGTTGCTGCTGCCAGAGGTCTATTTACAAACCTTTATATACGTCTGGTGCTCTTGAATTATTTTACTCAATTCTGGAAAATGCCAACCGTACCACTCTCGACATCTAAAGCAGATTGTTACGCAAAAATGTTACGCGAGAATTAATGTTAAAATACTAAGCAAAAAGCAAATTTTTTTTAATGGGGTTGTCTGCAGTACTCTGGTACATAATAAATCAAACCTCATCACGTAATTGTTAATTTCTTTATCGAGATCATCAAGTAAAGACACTGCTTGCACAATCATCGTGTCAATTTTCTCGGGATTAAATTTAACCTGAAAAGCTTCAATTTTAGAGACAGCTGAAAAACATTCTGTCAGTTTTCTTGAGTCATCTGCATCTGATACAAAGCACTTCTTGCCGAAAAAATTGAAAACGATTCAATCCTACAATAATAAATAGATTTAGTGAACTTCATATATCACCTCCGGTCAGTAGCAAGTTAGCACTACATATATACATATATATCTTTACTTTATAACGACCCAACGAATGAGCCACAGCGAGATTCATAGAGTGTAGCTCTTGTTTGTGTTCATTTAATAAACTGTCCAAGTTTGCACGAATACTACGCATAAGTTCCTGAGTTGCTGTATTATAAACACAAGATACATCGAATTTTTCCTAGAAATACACGCTTTCATTATATACCTAAGTGCTTCCTTCCATTTTTAATATAGATGATGCCTTTATCTCGAAATACCTACAAGAGACATCAATGAAACTGATCACAATGAGGCCACATTGTTTTTCTTCAAAGCAAAATGCCTTCACCATAACTACGATTAGTCAAGGAACTGCTATTATAATGAAAGAATCAAAGTAATTATTGGCTGTATAAAAGTAGGTATGTTAAGAACTTTAAATGTTAAGAAGTCCGCGACCTCCGAAATATTTAACTGAATTCTATTTTCATTGAAAACACTAGAATTAATTAAAGGACTCACTTTGATCATATTTCCCAACTTCACCTCACCAACAGCAAGTTCTTCACCTTCGTGTAATTTTCCCTTCAGAGCTTTTTCAGTGCCTTAGTTAACTTCCCTTCCGCCAGACGAGTAGCATTTTCTACTGCTTCTGCCGTATCCTTGAACTTTTTGAAAGAAATTAACTGCAACCTGAAGTTCAATATAAAGTTTAGTAAAAAGCTGTTCCAACGTTACAATAAGTATTTAAAACCCGCAACACTTTGTTACTCTTTTTCTGCATTTGCAAGGAAAAACAAAATGAGCTAAAAAAAAAAAAAAAAAAAAAAAAAAAAAGAAGCCCTAAACAGTTATGTCGTGGTCTGGCAAATCATGATATATCTATCCCATTATGAACAACTATCTAATTATACCTCACTTATCAACAGTAACTGCAAAACTCACATCCTTTGCGCCTTTTCTGGTGTTGAGCACTCATTCCAAATATTATCCACATTTTCCAATTTCTTTTCGTCCAACAACTGAAATATAAAGTAAATCTCAAAAAACATTTGTGAATTCTCAGGACCACAATTCTAGCCTAACACTTTCAAATATGTCATACATGCTAATCCTACTCTACTCAGTTTAAAATGTAACCTTGAACAAAGCATATCCTGCGGGTGTCTCAAATAGCACCAACATTCTTCACCTGCAATGAAAGTGCGATGTAGAAAGGCTACGTCAACGTAAACACGTACACACCCGAAATTAGCAATGCTTTTACCTTCTTCCTCACGGCGCCCGACCTGTCCCATCATATCACTGCAGTTATGAAGAATTCCCAGCCAGCCGTGAAATATTGCACGGCTCCTAAATTTGCAAAGTGTGCTTGCCGAACGGTAGCTGCGGTGAGTGGCAATGTGAGTCGATGCAAGTTCGGCAGAACAGTGCTTGTTGAGGAAGAGATCGGCTATAGTATTTGATCTCGTATTTTGACATTCTTCAGTGGATCCTGAACACTCAGAAGTGCATGATGTCAGTGCTTTGTCTTCATAACACTGAGAAATTCAGGAATGGACTTGCACTTTTAGGAGTACCTTATGAATAGTCAGACGGAAACGTCAAAAAGTAAACATCAACTGGAATGTCTAAAGAAGGAAGTTGGATCGAAACTGCGAATTTTTCCGGATTTTCCTAAGCCGGGGATCAAATTTGTGTAAGTCTTCCTCTTCTACTTTGTAAAAAGTTCTAGAAGGATAAAATGTTAAATTGTGAGAATGTTTTTCGACATTACTGGCAGTTCTTCCATAATGTTACCGTAGTTTAAAGTGGTCAGTCTACACTGGCGCAAGGTAAGGAAGGTGTTAAAACTGCAGTGAGTAACAGGCTTCATGGAAGGTTTCAATGACTACTTCATTTAATAAAATCTCATGACACTAATGATATCGCTTACTTACTTTTTATTGAATTAGGAGACTTGTTTGCAGAGATGTGATGGTATTAATGCGCTATCCGCTACTGCTCGAAGAACTTTGTGCAGCAGTAGCTCAACATGCCCGTGTTGAAATGCCTGTCACAATAGATGCAGTTGCTGGTTTGGAAGCTCGTGGTGAATACATTCATTTTCAACGTTTTCAAAAAAACATTTCAACTGCTATACTCTAATTATGCACATATATTAATTTGCCCAAGTAAAGCTGGCAAATTTTTTAAAGACCTATTTGCAAATAGTTGTTTGAGATGCAAGTAAATAAGCTGCCTAACAAAATTCAAACTTCTGTTGCTTGTGTGTTTTTGAACAGAATTTTTTATGTTTTGAATACTCAATGCAGGTTTCTTATTTGGTCCCCAAATCGCGATGATGTTGAAGGTGCCATTTGTTCCAATTAGAAAGAAAGGTAAACTACCAGGAAGAACACACAAAGAAGTCTATCAGAAAGAATATGGCGAAGTTAGTTGTTTTATTTCTTTTGAGTTTCGCATATAAGTGGGAATTTAAAATATAATTATATCTGATTGTAATAAATAGTTTCGACGATTTATATTGCTTTGAATTTTGTGATTGGATTTCGGAACCACTGCAATTAAACTTAATTCGTCTTTTTAATTTATGAGGGTCGTAATATTCTTTTCATTTATCTACAGGATGTAATCGAGGTACAAGAAGATGCAATCAAGCAGGGTTCAAAGATATTGTTGGTGGATGATCTTTTAGCAACGGGTGGTAGTTTAAAAGCAGCCGTATCACTGGTTGAAAAGGCTGGTGGTGACGTGGCTGGAGCGTTCACATTAATCGAACTTGCTTACCTAGAACCACGAAGACATTTACCGGAGCATATCCATATTCATTCTTTTATTACTTTGACTGAATAGAAGTCACCAACAGATAGATTACTTTATAACTAATTTTTCGACATTTCGTAGATTTAATTTTGATTGGCAAATATTGTTGTTATTGTTTATTATTATATCACATGCATGCATAAGATTTTTGTTCATTTTAAAATAAACATTTTTACAGTGGTGTCCTGTGATAGCACTACGGTTAAAGGGAAGATTTGAAAACCGTTCGAGGTATCTTGTAACATTGCTTTTATTAAGTTAAATGTAAAGGTGGTCACTGCAAAGCTTAAAACAGAAGCGAGTTTGATCGGGTGAGGAATGGCGTAGCAAAGTGGAGAAAAATGTTGTCGCTTGGTGAAAGTAATGAGCAGTCTCCTTGTATGTTCTCTCATCTATTCCAGTATATATGGTAAAATACGGTAGTTCCGAATTGTCAACGAATTTGAGACGTTGCTTCCGTGTTCTGCCTTTAGGTATTGGGCACAATTGGAACAACATAATCAATCAGATCCGAAGAATCAGGACTTTGTTATTTTATCTTTACGGCGGTTTAGGGCCATGAGTAATCAGTTCATCATTGGACATTTCAAAATAACTCTTTTGGTTCGTAACCGGAAGCTTAAGATTGTTGAAGTGATTTCTTCGCTGTTTTCTGTTTATTATTGCTGGTACTGCGTCAGTGTTATTTCTAATATGTCCATTAAATAGAAGATGACAGTGCGCTAAGACTTCAATTTTTCGAGAAATTTAGAAGAAATTTTAGTTTTTCTTGCCAACTAAAAACGAAAGGTTTTGCTTTCATTTTTTTGTAATAAAAATAGGTCAGTTATTATTGCTTTTCTCTTTTATTCTATAAATTTTACTATACCACTAATTATTTCATTATATATATATGTTGCTCTTTCACAATATATTGTTTTTTGGATAGCGTCAAGGCGTTTCTATTTAAATATAACACCTCGCTTTTTCATGGTGCTCATTTCTATTTTTTTGATTTGGCGTCGGCAGTTATTTTGTCAAACTTCATATTTATTAGTTTATGATTCTTCCGTACTTTATTCTTCTTAGCGTATGAATTATATTGTGATTTAAATCAGGTCCAGTCTTGGTTTCTAATTTATTAGTAAAATAATAAAAGTTCAATGCAAAGAGCTATTTTTGCAGTTTACTGATTTGATGGCTAAATACAAGGGATAAGTAGAAAAGATGATGAATTCAACTTGGTTGAAATTTATTCTTTTGATTGTGATGTTTGCTGTTACTTTTGGCGCGGGAATGGTGCCAGTAAAAGTACGTTGCTTTATTTATACAACTTTTTATTTTGATTTCGTATTACTATGTCGGAATGATGATTACCTGTATAAATATAAAATAACTTATTAAGCATATTGCAGTTATTTAGTTTGCAGGGAACAGTAAGCTTTGGGCCTTCAGTGTTGTTGAAATGAACATAGTTTTTGAGATCACAAAAATTTTTGAATCAAAAAGAAGCTGAATTTGACATCAGAAAAGTGAATTTGTAAAAGCAGTAGGTTAGATAGTGACGGTGCTATTGTAAGTCTGGAAAAGTTCTCAGAATTGGAAGAATTCTCAGTTTCGGACTATGGTCTCAGGAGATTTCAAAAGATTTCAGGTACTGAAAATTCTTCGGAAGCATGCAGCCTCAGCATCTACATCCGCGAAGCAGCGAAACGTCTCGTTAGTGCTGTGTTTACTTACTTGTTTTTCTGGTGGTGTTTTCTTCGCCACGTGTTTTTTACATCTCTTTCCGGAACTCACTGAGCATCTTCATGAGGTTATTTCGTCTGAATTGCATTTTTCATTTGAAAAATAATGATATCATTTTGCAGTTACTCGAAACATGATCACGTGATTTAATAACTGTAAATTTGAAACTGCACTTCTCCAAGCGTAATTTTTTCCAGGAATTTTCAGTTCGCTTGGAAACTTTCTTCTTTTCTGGATTCATTTTAAAATTCTGTTCTTCAGATATAAAGAAGCAGTAGCTCGAAATTGATGTTAACTAATCACTGTCATTTGTTTAGATGAAAAAAGAATATGGGTTTTCTGTGTCATATCCCCTGGCTGAATTATTGTCGTGCATAGGTTTTTTTCTCTTATTTTTTGTCGAAGAAGTCATTTTGCTTCTTTTACCCGGTGCTGGTCATTTACATGCTCCGACAGGTGCTCAAATTGCTGAAAGTTTCTGTGAACGGTGAGTTATTAGTAAAAAGAATTCTCAAACGGTTCATAGATTGTTGAACTATTCTAATTGGTTAGTTGCAACATCGCTCAATAAAGATATAGCTTGCTTAATACTGGTAAAGTAACGATTTTGGATATTAAATGCTAAATTTATTAATGATTCTAAAGGTAATTGCTCCTTTGTTTCATAAACATGATTTATTACGGAAGCAAGTATAATTGAATATAATGGTTAAATAATGAAATGTTGCTGTCCGGGAAGATTACACTCATAGGTCATGAATACATATATAACACCTAGTTTAAATATTACGAAGTATCTGGTACTGAGTATTTTACTAAGATGATAAATATATATATAAAGTTTAAGTTAGGAATTTGTTGCCGCTGGCGTGAAGCTTAATAAAGATCGAGTAAAGTTAGAATTTGAAGTTTTTGGAAATAAAGTATATATTCAATTCTATATTGCGTGAATGGCGCACCTTATTGTGCGTTGCTAGAAAAGAATTATTTTAATTTGTTTTCTGAAAATTTATAAATGCAAATGAAATGAATAGGCATAGCGTTGTTTAGGAAAATGATGAGTAAAAGACAAATTTGACGAGTGTCAAGCGATACTGTACAATTGAAAGGGATGACTGATTCTATAAATTTTCTGAAAATAAATGTGAGGTGCTTGACTAATTTGCTAGTAGTCAGTAGGTGAGAGTCAATATGGCAAATACAGAAAGTAAGGGAAAAGTCAATATTTGATTCCGTAATTACGCAAATCTAATAGTTATTTCTTTTTTGATATGACATGACTTACCTCTATTGTGGGTATAAATAAATTTTAATACTGAGTGATTTTGGATATTGCTAATGGCAATGGATTAGGAGCTGGTTGATTTGTAGTTCTCACAGTTTTTCAGTTTATTATTTAGTTTGAAAATATCGAAGCTTCAGAAACCATGACGTTGATCACTGTTGCCATGAAAGTGTTAATGTCGATGCTTCCTCGAAAACTTGCCTGTCATGTGGTCCTAAAGGTAATTTTTAAGCATCGACCAAATATTGACTGCTTTACAGCTTCTTGCATTCTGGAGGTTCTTCTCACACTTATTCACTTTTATGCTTTAGGATGGAAATAAACTTGTTCACATTACAGACGAGGACTCGTCTAGAAAAGGATTACTATGCACAATAAATTCATCTAATCGAGCACCAGCGGGTGGTCAGCGCGTTAACAAAGGACCTGATTATGGACATCCTGCAGAGTAAGTGTGATGCTTTGACAACGTTTTTTCAACATTTTTGTGGATTTTAATTATTTTTTTATTTGTTATTCCGACATTTTTGCAAATGTTGCATGCAATAAACTTATTATTGGTTGAGGGCCTGTTTTGTCCTTGTGCATCTGTGATGATTCGAATCTTTGCATGATATATTGAAGAAGAGGCATGATTTTTTGTAATTTTTCTGATTTTTCACCGTTTTTTGAACAAAAGCATGGATTTACAGCTTTTATCTCACTTTTTTTTCATATTGAAATTTAGTGGAAAAGACTCAACGCCTTTGCTCCAAAATTATGCATACAGTGGTGAATATGGTACTATGATCCGGAAATCTTGTGGTCAGGAATCATCAGATAAAGGAAAGTACTCATTTGCGGCTTATCCTTTAAATTTTTGCTAGTTTAACATTTATTGATCGTTTTATAACTTCTTGCCTAATTTTCTTTTTATTTTCTTTTCACGTCACTGTTAAAATTGCATGAAGGTTTATACTGATTACTGTGTTTAATTATTTATATTCGTTAACAGTAGATATTTTTATTTTTTGATGTTATATGTTGAAGATTAACTGCCTGTCTCTTAAGCTTTATGTATTTTCATAATTTTTGTTGCTTATGGCATGAGTGAAAAGATATTTTACATACACGTCGAAAACTTCAGTCATGAGATTGATTCTAAAGAAGTGAATATTCGATATTTTCAAGTTACCTTATACATATTATTAGTCAAATAGAAAAAGCAAGAAATATTTGCTCTAAAAGTGACTTGTTTAGTTTTGAAAGTAATGCATATTGGTCATAGTAGAATTCTTCGTTTTCATACTTTATTATGCTATTTCATACTAAGATGAAATTTATCAGTTTCATCTGAACAAATGTGCTGTTTGTATCCTATCTGTTCAAATACACAGAGAGCTATTAAAACTTGCCGGATTATCTTTTTGATTATCCCTTATTTTCTTATAGGACATTGACATTGGCTGAACCAGAAGCATGTGAACGAAACTGCGATAGTGTTAAAGAAGATCCACCAATTTTGATGAAAAGTCGTCCTCATGCTCATAGCCATGGTGTACGTAGTATCACATTCGTCCTGGCAATATCGTTTCATTCAATCATTGAGGGTCTAGCTTTCGGTGTTCAGGTTTGGCAGTTTTGTTATTTTGATTAAGGAAACGTCTGAAAATATAACAGGAATATGGTCAGTTGCTAAGAAAACACAAAACAGAAAAGTTGGGTAATACTAGCTGCAGTCCGAAAAGAATGGGATTTTAAACTTACATAACATTTTTTTTTTTTTTGTTTTTATCTTAAATTCGTCTCTTTTGTTTTCTTAATAGCTTTTTGTTTTTCTTAAATGCAAATTCCTACTATAAAAATTTTGCTTTCGATATATCGTCGTGTTTCAAATTGTTGCAGACTGATAATGCTCGAATTGTGACACTGTTTATATCGTTAATGGTGCACAAAATTATTGTTGCATTTTCGGTTGGTCTGCAGTTGGGCCGCACTCACGCACATGCTTTAGGATGGGTGTGCCTTAGTATGGCTCTTTTTTCGATCATGTCACCTTTTGGCGGTTTTATTGGTACATTTGTTCAAAGCTCACAAATGGATACACAAGTGAAAGCTCTGACAATACTTACTTTTCAAGGAGTTGCTGTTGGTACATTCATTTATGTCACGTTTTTTGAGGTAAGATTCATATTTTTATTTAGAAGACTTGTTAGAAACATTTTTAATCTTGGCAACACCAAACAGTGATATCGAAAATCTGATTAATTCTGGGAGACGAATTATATCGAATAATAACAAACATTAAAAACCAAAGTGCTATGTGTTTTGCAGGTTTTGTTACACGAACGAGATAACGAGCATCCGAATCTTTTAAAACTTATTTTTATGTTGATAGGATTTGCATTGATTGGTGGGCTGCGGTTTTTTGACAATCATTCTCATGAACATTTTGATGGATCTCTTCAAAACCATGGAGCTCTTGTCATCACCTCAACCCCATAGTATCTCGTCCTTCAGAAAGCTGTTAATTCAATATTTGTTTTTAACCTCTGTAAATATTTCCACAGGGTAAAGACAGTACTTTTATTATCGTCGTGAAGTTGGGTCATTTTTATGACTTAAATTTCTCGTTCAGTTTTCAATTTTACTTACAAATTTTACGCGATGAATTATGTATAGGGACACGAGACTTTTCAAATTCTTCAAAGAAGACAGTCCTTACAGATATGTTACACTATTCCCATTCATGACGCTCATCAGACTGTTTGGATTCACTAAGTCTATGTATCCAACATCTTCATGCATATATCTTCTTTCTTAACCTTGGAACAAAATAAAAACTATCAGTTATGGAACTGCAAGCTAAGATCTGAATCGCAAAATATTGTTGGCATCATTGAATGAATTTGATTAACACTTGCATATTTTATACATTGACTTTGATAATTATGGGAAGTTTTATTTCTTATATCTCTTTTCTTGGTATTATTAAATCTCACATTTTGTGTAAGAAACTAGCAAAATCGTATCAGTCAGACTTGCACTGAGTAAAATATTTTAATCACTTGTGAAATGTTTTCATGATAGAATACTCTATGTAAAGAAACGAGGCAAAGAATTGCAAGAAATTTAAGCTAAGAACTGCCGCATTTTCATTCCGAATAATCTTTCGATTGCATAAGGTCAACTTCATATCTATCGTCAAAGATAAAGAAATTAGGATATATAATTCGCTTAGCTTTCATTGGTACATTTATTTTTGACAAAAACCATGTAACGTTGATGAGTTTATCCGTCGTCAGAAAAATTTAATTGCGCAAAACTTGCATATCATCATATCTAGAAATAATAACTTACAACGCTTATGCTTACTCTTTACAAACATTCGTCTGCCGTTCAAATAGAAATTGATTTGGAATATAGGAAACCTGTAGATACAACTTTAATAGTGACATTTGGATCTCATGATTTCCATAAAAGGTAAACCCGAAATATGTTTAAAAATTCGCATTCATTGGCGAGTTAATAATATTTCCTTATCCAACTTTTATTAAAAAATCAGGTCTACATATCCAAAATCATTGAGACATTATCTGTGACTCAACCTAAGGCGATATCAAATGATCTGACAAAGCTATGTTTTTCATTCCTTGCATACTGAAACAATGGAATTTTATTGCATCAACTAAATTTGAGCGAGTGAACAAGCAAAAATAGTTGACATAAGTCTATTATAAACGGCGAAGTATAACCAGCTTTAATGGTCCTTCCGGACGTGATCGAAGCGTCTTCGTTGCTTCTAAATAACTCATACCTCTTATATCTATACCATCAATTGTGATCACTTGGTCACCAATTTTTATACGACCGCTACGTGCCGCAGAACCGCCTAGAAGTGAGTTAAAATGAGTTAGGTAATTACTCACTATGTAATCAGCGTTAGATAAGTACTACAATTTAATGCAGGACATCGTTAAAAATTAAAATGTAACTTTCTGAGAAAAGCTAGAGACTCTGCAAAGTTCTTTTTCTAACTAAAGCATGTACTTTCAAGCATATCGCTATTTCTACGATAAGTGATAACTTACCTTCAAAAATCCTTTTGATAACGATTGGGCGGTCGCCGAACACTGATCCACGACCACCATCAAGTGCCAAACCGACACCGAGATTACCTTTTGTGAGTATCACTTCTTCGGAATACGTTGAATAATTGAATAGATCAGGATCAGTAGTAGCTAACCAGAGGAAAAAATCCATTAAAAAGGTTTTTTTAAGGAATTTATAGTTCGTTTTTTGCACATTTTTAATTCACTAATTACTATTAACTTGTACAACAAAAACAGATTGTGCTTTTACTGAGAACATCTAAAATGATTTCACCAGTGGAAACAAATTTAGTAGGTTCAGCTGGCATGTCATTTGATTTTGTTTTCAGTCGTCCGAGTATAAAAACAACATGTTCAGTCCGTTGTTTGATTAAGGTTCGTGCCTCTGTGGCTGACATCTGGAACAAGAGTAAACTGATCCATTTATGTTGTAAGAAATCAAATTCAAATATTCTGCAAGATCAATGCGCAAGAATTGCTTTTTATGTTCTAAACCCTTCTTTTTTTTACATTGAAGATTTTAACTTTTCGATAACAAAAATTATAATGCGAAAGATAAGCAACAAGAAAAATCAACTGACCTGTTTTGTAGAGTGACCCTGCACGAAAAAAACACGATCACCTTTTTCGATGAGATCGCTTCGATCCGCAATGCTACCCGATATCACTCTTTGCACCTGAACATATAAAAACCACTCTTCGACTGCTCCGCACAATTAATTAATCGATTATTTAAACCAATAACGAATACTCACGCTGATATATTGGTCACCGGAAGCTGCTGAACTCAGAATTACACCAATTGAACCTTCCGGATTATTTGCCGATCTTTTCAGTGTTACTTTGAAAATATCATAATTAGCAAATTTTTCATCCAACAAACTTTTGCATTCCATTAACTAAAATACTTTAACAATATTAAATGAATATTGCAAATAGAAGCATTGTAGTTTCTATCAAAAAACAAGCACATTTCTTTAGAACTTTAAAACAATAATTAAGTGAGGTAGTAAAGCAAACAAAAAGCGTATTGTTTATCTTTCATAATGTTCTTTTTTGTTGGAATAATTCCTCATTTGCGAAAATATGGAACAATCAATAAGAATTTAACAATAACGGAATCAATCAGATATTACCTCCGCTTCAGATGGCTTTCCTTGCTTATGCAATCCACTGCATGATGTTACCTCCTCCATTGCTTGAAATGCTGATTGTTCAGCTTTATCTACTTTAAGTGACCTTCCAACTATGTCATCATCTGCCACATTATCGAAACATGACAAAGTAAGTCCTTCAATATTTATTTTTTAGGAAGTAGTGAAAATACATGAAAACTGCACAGATATCAATTGTGCAATCCTCATTCTGACTAGCTGATCTTACAGTTGGAAAATTACATAAATGAACAAAGTTGTTTTTGAACCTTTCATAATTTCGAAAGAAGATTCCATTTCTGATAGACAAGAATACATTTTTGCATTCGGCTTTTGTTCCATCACGGATGTGTACATTTCTGGGGACTCTTTCCGTTCCGTTATAATCGAGGACTTTTTCTCAACTTTTTCAGATTGTCGGATAATATTCAAGGATTTTCCTGTTTTGATATTTTCTTCGACAATAGAGACAAATTTCTTTTCACCATCAGTATGAGATGCCAAGATCATTGGAAAAGATTCTGCATTCTATAAAGAATTATTCTGATGCTGTGGACATGAAACATAGTATTGCTAAAGACGATGAACATAATATAGTTTGAAGAGAGAGTATTACGAAGACTGTTCACAAATTGCTACAATTGATAACATAAGATGTGCATTTGCTAAAGACAAAAATAAGAATATGAAATTTGTGATAAAAACAAATTATCGTAATGGTACTTATACAATGGCTCTTAATTAGGACTTGTGTCACTATTCCATTAACTAAAATTTGAATTCCCTTCTAGTGAATTTATCAGCTATGGTTGAGCTATTTTCCTCCCAATATCTTTTTAACTTAAAACTTTTCTAGTACTGTTCATTTTCTGTTTACTACTCCTTTCCATAAAACATGAGAGAAAGAACGTGCTACGTATTAGCAATTTTCTAAACAAATTACTTTTTTTCTAAACAATTAGATAAACAAATTACCTTTTCAAAGGATGCTCTCACTTTTGTAAACAAATTTTCGGCTCGCGAAACAGTTGCGTTCTCAGTAGTTGAAAATCTATTTCTGGAAGTTCCAGCATAGGTCGCATTCCTTCCAGTAAATTTGTCGCTCATCACTCTACTGCCACGATACGGAATTTTCTTTGAGATCTGTAGATTCAGTGTTGTCCCTTTCGGAGCACCACTACTACTGCTTCTGATCGCAGTAGACTTCCTCGGATCAATAACACCTACGATGCCTTGAAATGTTTTCGGTGTTGGAACTGCACCATTATCGGCTTTTGTGAACTACAAAAATTTTTTGATAAATCAAAAATCGGAGTAAAAATACCTGGCGGAAATAAGGAAGAAATTGTAATTTCAATCAGATTTTAGCCGAAAAGACCATCGCAATAGATCAATCATAGCTAAATAGATCAATTAGCAATATTAATAATTTCAAATATAGGAAATCATTGCTCATAGCAGAATCACAGAGGATTTCAAACACAGTTAGCATCTTAGCGAGCCAATCTAATCCACTGACTTAGACAGTTAGCTCAGTTATAATTATAAAAATAAAATGAAAACAAAATCTACCTTTTCAATAAGTTTATCGAATGGAACTGGCTTATCATCTCTGGTACGCCGTGGAGCAAGTGGCACTGCCGGTTTTTCGAATTTTTCATTTGATGATTTCGTAGTTTGCAATTCTTTAATGGATGATGTCCTGTCAATTTCACGAGAGTGTTCCCGTTTCTTCAATACAGTAGAATTTTCGCGCGTGAAAGGGATTGATTTCGTAGAGACGATTGAGCCAAACTTCTCAAACTCAGCTGCAGCAAACTTTTCTGAAACAGATACAACGCTATTCTTTTTGAATGACACATCTATTATATATATACCAGCTACTTATTGCTTATATCCTAGCTGGTTATTCATCAAGTGATTTGAAGTTCTTGAAATAGCTGTTTCCACATAGTGAAAAATTGGACTTTTCTGCAGTTGAAGGAATCATTTCTGATCATCTCAAGCAAGAATTAAGTTCCAAAAAACCAAATTTCGGCTGCCGGAAACTAAGACAAAACTAAGAAAAATAAGATTATTCAATATCGTTCTCAAATTCTTCTGAAGACGGTAGAGAGATATTTTCCACAAATTATTCACTAAGATAAATGAAGAATAATGGAAGTTTGGGGAACATTTGAATCAGTTATTTGCCGTGTAAAAACATCAAAAAACAAACCGCTACCATTGCCATTTGTTAATGAATCAGACTTCTGAGAAATAATCCGGCTAAGTTTTGTAGCAGGTACAAATGAAACGAAGTGACTTTTCTTGATATCCGAGTGTGTTTCTGATTCCGAACTATTTCCGTATTTCACAGCAGAATTTTTGAATGACTCTAGGTTTTCATTATAAGCAATACATTTCTCGGTTTTCACCAGCTGATTTTCTGGCTTTTGTTGTGAAACCATCTCAAATTCTACGTCACGAAATAGAATCTGAAGTGGAGGTCCTTCCAGGTTAGTGCCACAACTTTCTTGATCATGTCCCGAGACAATTTTAAAAAGAAAAAGTTCTGGCACTGTTATTTCTTGAGCCCTCATAAGCGACTGTTCAGGTGAAGCATTCCTTGATTCCACAGATATATTATGAGGCAACGATTCAGTAACAGAATCAGACGACATGTGGTATCTGGAAAGCAAAAAGATTTGATGAAATTGATTAATAGAGAAAAGAAAAAAATCACTCTGCTAGACTGGAATTTTGAACTGATTCGAGTTAAGTCAATAAAGAAACCAAGTGAGTGGTGGCAAAGATTTCAATGGATTTTCAATTAATCAAGTCTTGAAATTGGAAGAATTTAAATTGAATTAAAATATTTTTAAGTATGAATAAAAAAATTTATTGCTGAGCAATTTTTGTTCAGAATATTCAAGAAAGTAAGTATTCCTAACAATTTATTATACAAGTAAGATTTACATCTTGTAGGCTGATAAGTGCTTCATGGTAATTCCATCATCATGTTGTTTTCCAATTTTATGTTGCTTATCTGTGTCCAACGTTTCCACTGTTTCCTTTGCCTCAGATGAATTATCATACAGTAACTTTGCTGTAGGAAGATTTGTTGATTTTGTAAGAAAGTCCTCCAGTTTGTTAACTATCCGTGGATAGCAATGGCAATTCGAAATTTGTGCTTCAGTATGTAAATTTTCCTGGAATTTTGAACAGAGGTCATTCGGCGATTCTCCTATGGATGCTTTCGACTTTTCGCCTTCCTGCTCATTCATGTACGTCTTATTTTTTTGCATCTCACTTTTCAAGCAAGCATATTTATAACTCTTCTGTACCGAAGTTTCCTGCACTGATCGATTTGAATTTAATATTCCACTGGATGAAAGAATATTGAAAGGAGCTGTTACATTATTTGATTCTTCACGTGCTGGGGTTTCTGCAAGCGTAGTTGAATAAGCAGGTTGATGCTGCTGCTCTTGTTGAAAAGTGCATGCAGGAAATGTTGCGAGAGTATGATGTTCATTCAGATAAGATTGTTCCGAGGTTTCTGGATGAATTGCGGGATTCGAAGAAACACTCATATTCATAAACGACGGTAATATTGGTTGTCTGGAAGGCATTATTAGTGGAGCAGAGATTGATGGAACGGAACACGTCTCTTCATCTCCTGTTGGCAGATGAAGCGTAGAGTTAAGAAAGTTCGGTCGACTGAAAAAAATAAGTTATGGAAAGAATTTGCTAATGCAGTTTGAAAGTAGATGAGACAACAACAAGTAAACACGATAGGGCATAGCTTCTGCTGCCTTGACAAACGTCTTTTCTACAATATAACACCTTGATCGACCGCTTAGTAAGATGCGATCGATAACGTTATCTTGGTTCCGGTAAAACTCGGAGTCGATCTTATGTCAGTTTTGACTTCCACTGGATTCTTTATAAACATTTCAAAGAAATACTTGGCGGCGAAACGTCGATCGAATTCATCGAACAATGGACTGGAACAATCTGGGTCAGAAGCAAATACGCTAACATAAGTTGGCTTGTGTTTGATATTCCCACGACTTCGGGACATAGTTCGTTGTGCTTTAGATTGCTGATGCTGTTGTAACTGATCACTGTGAAATCCGGAATCGTTACTGCTTGGTGAATGATTACTAATTGTTTTGAATACCATACCAGTAATGTTACCATTGTTATCATTGTTATTGCCATTCACAGATGATATGGTTGTATCTAATTCTAAAGCCATTTTACTACCTGCAAGTTTTTCATTTTGAAAAGATTTTGCGCTCAAAACAAATTTAGCTTATTCATGAATGCAGCGGAAATAGCACTGCCAAAGTAGAAGTAATACATCGCTCGAAAGGGGAAACAAGCTATTAAAGAGATAGACCAAAGCTATTGTAACATATTACAAATATCCAAGGACAAATATCACCATAGCAGTGCAAACAAAATTGCCAATCACACAATCTTATCGTAAGTAGTGCTCATAACATATAAGCACCTTTAATTAATCAGATTAAGATTTTAAGAATGAAATACAACCAGTTGATAATCTCAGGAAAAGATTTCAGCTTTTTTGACAACACAGAATCTTATCTAAAGAAGCCCTCTGGCAGTGAATGAAGACGGAAAGAAGAAGGACAACACTAACTAATATAAAGCCTCCTGCAACAGACGCTGATACAAGAAATTAGAACAGAACGATTTGATACAAGAAATTAGAACCGTCTATATTAGAACTATTTAAAAAACACAACTTTACTTCCAAGAAAAACATAACTATCGAAGTGTGAGCACAAAGAGAAACTAGAAAAGCTACATGGGATAGATACACACTGTTGCAAAAGGTATTTTATTACGATGGAATCATAAAACACGATTGTTATTCGATTATCTAGCTTTATGACCCAATTCGAATACTAATTTACCTATATATAATTTCGAAGTCTACCCACTAATTTCTTGAATCAATCTTGCAGTAAGGAAATATTTTCCAATTTTTCCAGTTATAAATATCCATGAAAGAATGGATGAGCATTGCGAAGTGAAACATGAGCAAATGGATGACTGAAAGGTTTCCAAAAGTAAACAGGATAAGCAGAACTGAATGCTTTTTTCAAGGATATGAAAATGAATTTATCCATAACAAACATACAAATAATCCCTTTTTCCTTCACAATTTTCATTTCTCACGTGGGTCACGTGTGAAACAAATAAACGAATTTGAGTGCTGAGTTTTATAAAACATCTCATCTGCAAGATAACGAAAGTAGTGATGGTAGTTATGAAAATAATTCACTAAAAATGTTGTAGTAATTTAAAATGGGAAAAGGAACTAGATTAGAGAATAATAAGTCTGTTTATAAGTATATTTCAGCTTAATTCAATTTAACCAATAATAATGTACTTACGCAAAACAAAAAAATGAAAAAAATGAAGCTAGATCGAAGCTGAAAAAAAAAGGTTAAATTCAGCATTCCAAACTCGCATGATCCTGAAAGTTCAATCTCTCTAATTATAGTTATTTTAGCTAGAAATTAGTCAGAACAAATATAATCAGCTCAGAGCTGAGCCATTGTTAAGTTTTCTAATTATTAATTTATTAAATTATTAAGTTTTTCATTCAATAATGTCTTATAATACAAATTTTTAGAGTTTTATAGTGCAGAGGTTGACCGATGAATCTTCAATAGATAATTATTTTGTCATCACAGATAAGAGGGACGACCGAACGTTAACTTTCAGATGTTTGTATTTCATTTTGAAATCACTTAGGTGAGATGCGTATTATAACTTTCCAAGCCGAGCAGCTTTGAAAATAAATCACTGATTGATTTATTGCTTTAGGTCAAGCGTCAAGCATTCTATCTCATAACATTGTTTACTCTTATTTTATTAGCATTTAAAGAATATGAACATAGAATCTTCAAGCAGTATAGAAACTAACGTCAGCAGCTATTAGAATTAGACTTTCAGGTAGAAGTACTAAATGCTGATCAAGACAGAAATAATTATCCAGTCCTGAAATGGAACATAATACATAATTAATGTCGGCATCTCGGTCAGAATCGCATATTTGGTGTTTAGTAAATATTTGTAATTGATCTTAGTCTTCATTACAAACAAATAGTCAAATCTTTAATCTTAGAAAAACCTACTGTATGGAAGAACGAGTTTAATTACAAATTAGCTGATAAGATAAAGTGCACGTTGAAAACGAAATAATCCGCGGATAACGAGAAAACATGAGAGGACGTAAATTGAATTGAATAAGTTGATAGAAGAGATGAATAAGCAGAATGCTGGAAGATGCAAGACAGTATTCAGTAGAAAAGCTTTTCCTTTTTCCTCTTTCTTCTCTTCCTCTCTCTCTCTCTCTCTCTCTCTTCAAGAAAAAGAAAGAAAAGAAAAGGATGGATTGATGGGTAGATGCTTTGGTGATCGAATGTTAGCAAAGTGAGTCATTCATTTGTTCATTGGGAAAAGTGATGATGAAAATGATGAAATAGTTTTTGTATCTTTTGAATAACGAGATATCCGCGACCTCTGTCACCTTGTCATTTTGTTTGATCTTCATCTCTCCGCATCAGGTAAACATTCTGCTCATTCTGTTACAGCGAAAAAAAAAATCTTGACTTTTCCATCAGTTTCTGAAGTACTTTTCATGCTAAGGAGAAAAACAAAAGAGAATACAAATAAACCAGAAAAAAAATATCAATTAAATCGACAACTCAAACATAAATAACTCTGTGAAAGAATTCATCTTCAAAAAATCATGAAAACTTTAGAACAATTAGGGAGATTTGTCATCAAAAAATTCTCCTGCCGAATCAGTTGACAGCTGAACCAAATACTTCTAGTGCGATTTATTTAACATATGATAGTCTCCATGTAAATCAAAAAATCTCCTATGGCTGAGGGATTTTAAATAATCTGAATCCTGAAGAATTCAAAACAGTAAAACTTAAATTTCAAATCAACTCTTGCATCAATTAATCGAGTCCTTTCTCCTATCTCCAAGAGTTTGGTAAATAGGTCTCAGATACCTCTCACTTTTTTATAACTTCTTTTAATCCTTCTTTTCAGAAACCTAAAATCCAAACTCAGTACATCTATTCGGCAAAGGATTATTTTCACAAGGCTCCACGAACACAAAATTTCTCAGGATCATGATAACATTTCAAACTTGGTCAATCCTTCGCTCTTAACTAAGACATTAATATTTAACTTTAATTAACATTTTATTAAAGTAAACTCATACAGGAAAAACCCACTAGCAGCTACAGCAATTAAGAAACCCACTAGCAGCTACAGCATTTAAGACAAGTTTTCTAGAAAAATGAGATGAATTTTTTCCGAACGGTGAAAAGTGAAGTTTAAGGGTTCTTCTTATTTAGTAAGCAATTGCAATTGCAGTTTACTTTTTTGAATTTTTCTACTAAAGTTCCTTACTCCACAAGCTATTATTTTTGACAAATTCAGCCAGAATAAAAAATAATATCATGAAGAGAGAGAAAGGAATAAAATCGTTAGAAAAGCAAGCAGTTAAGTTCAGAAAAAAAGCATTGCAATCCCATGAAAATGCATATTTTTTCAATTCAATAGTATTCACTGGGAATTTGTCAGTGAGAAATGTGACGATAACGACAATGACGATAATAAAATAACCATTGCATAATGATAATGTCAGGTGAGATGCTACTGCATGGCCTTTATCAACATTCCTCATTCTTTGTATGTTAGAGGCAAAGGAAGATGAAGGAGAAAAAAAATCAAAGATTGTAATCAAATAGATGCATGTTTTAATTTGACATGTTTGAATGAGTCACATCACCATTTTTGAATGATAAAATTTAAAAAATTTTTCCACGCACAAACGGAAAAAGCTTACAGAATCAGAAAATCAAAGAAAGCTATAGTATTTGCCTCTTAAAGGACTGTTTTCATATCATTTTCTACTGTTCACATAATATTCAAAACAGACTTTCGGATTCCTTTCGTCTCAATTCGTCACTTTGTAGAAGAATTACAAGTACCGACTGTCTTGTCAAAACTTTCAATCAAAAACTACTGTGATCGATCAGAATACAGTGAAGTAGGATACTTCAGGAAGCACTGATAAAAAATATAGACATAACTCTCCAAATCTTAGGAGAACATTTTTAATGGTAGAGCTAAAAGATGAAAAAGAATATGGAGATTAGAAAATGAGTGAAATTAATATGAAATAAGATACCTCATTAAGGCTTGATAACTGGAAGAAAGGGTGTGAGACAGAAGCGACCCGAAATTAACAAATTAATGCGGATTTTTGGTAGTAAGATAATGTAAATGCAGACGATAATGACTTCATCCTTTAAGTTATGAAGAAAATTCTAACAAAATTTCAAATGCAAAAATCGGATGCACCATGAAATTTGCATTTGAATGCTCAGAATTTGACAATTCATGCGAAGGAAAGAAAGAGGGAGAGAAGTCTTAAAATTCCGAAAATTATTCTGTTCGAATTTAGATTATTACAATAATCTAGAATTTGACACAGTGATAACAGAACTTCATCAGATCTGAATTAAATTGGATCCGAAATGCCAGAAACTTATTTCAATACAGCTAATAAGCCTAACGGAATTAGCTGAAGGAAACTATCACATACGTCAATGGACTAAAAGAATAACAGAGTTATTGATAAGACGAATAGTCTAAATGTTTAAGCTTAACTTTCTTAATTGCAGTTTAACATAAAGGTTCAAGATAATTAATTCATTATTTATCATGGAAAGAAGAGATAATCAGTTGGTTAATATTAAGACCCCTAGCTAGTCCCAGGATAACTTCAGGTGAGCTGAGAAATGTCTTCTGAAATTTTCAGATCTGTATTCTCATATCTTTTGACTTATTACAGAAAATGCCACTTCCAACCTACAACAAAGTGATCGGTTAACTTCACCAAAACTCGAGGCATTTGACAATAATCTCTTATTGATTAAACCGTTTGAATATAAAATAGCATATTTCATTAATGGAATTGTGTCATATTTGACATCCGCTTTTTTTTATTTTTTAAATCTTTTTTCCCTAAATTAATAATTTAAAATTAAACATAAAGTTTGTCTTGAAGTTTCAATCTCAACTGATCGAATAGATACTGTTATAAAGTAAATGAAGAATTGAGATCGACAAAAAGTACACTTAACAAAAGAAGAAATGAAATATAGAAAATGAGTTCTTATTACAAATAAGAAGTATGATAAACATTCCTTTAATACTTTACATTGATCCCTGTCTGTAACGAACAAAGATATCTGGTTTAATAGTCAAGAGGGTAGAGGTGTGAAAAAAGTCAATAGTTCTTTAGGTGGCATTCAAATGAAAATAATTCTGACTCATTACTAAACTTCCACAACTTTATATATAATAACAATGTAAATGAATTCTAGTGCATAGAAGTTCTCTAATCTTTCAAAATATCCGGAAAATTTCTCGCTTATAGAAATGAATATTTAGAAAGAAATACAGAAGTTTGAAATCATTAATTAGAAAAACGAACAATTCCATATAGGGCATAAAACACAAAAAGACGCCTTTGGTTGAAACTAAAGAAAACAAGAAGAAATGCTTGGAAAATGAAGAAACGGAAGAAAAACATTTTCTTCTTCCACAACGTCAAGGACGTACGAATAGAAAGGAATAAAAAAGCAAAACGGAGCGAAACAAATATAAGGAAACAGAGAACAAATAATTTAATAATAATAACAATAGTAGTGATAATAATATTATAATAAATAACAATAAATAAATAACAGTAAATAATAATCAATAATTAGTAATAATAATAATAATAAATTAACATTTTTAATTATTAAGTTCTTGCAAAGTAATCGAACAATTCACCTACGTTCGACTTTTTCCACATTAAACATTCAAGTCTCTGATGATCATTCATATTTTCATTGCTTTACTGCTTGAGAAGCCTCTAATATCAGTTATCAAAAAATTGTTTATTCACTTCTCATCGATTCTTCAGAATTTCTGGCTATGAACACAATTCAGACTTTCTTTCAAAACTTTTTATAAGCTTATCGCAGATCATTATGCAAAAAAATGCAGAACGAATGAAACTAAAGCAGAGATGAGGACTGCAGTTGGACACTATCAGTCTTCCGAATAACTCTGAATGAATAGGTTGACCTTTGGCTGGTCAAAATGAATAAATTTCTTTTCTCCTTTATCTTCTATCCACACATGCATTTATAGAAATATGTGCACAAGAGTAGTTTATGAAATCCTCATCATAAATATTTATTGTAATTTGGCATTAAGGCAACATGATGCTTTGATAAATAAATAAAAATTTTTGAAAAAAGTGACTTAAGATATATATGCCAACCAATACCTTCCCATCATGCGAAAATATTCCGTCTGATCTAAGTTGCTAACTAGCATACTACACGTGATTCTCCACGTCATGGAAGTTATTTCAGCTTTCTGAACTTTCTTGACCATAAAAATTATGACAATACGCTGCAACTGATTGATGATCACATGTGAAATTTATAAACGAATGAACACTGCATTTTGAAAAAATAACCTTTCTGTAAGGAGAAAATTTGAGATCCATTGGTGATCATGCAACGATTACTTCTATTCTGTGGAGATGATGAACTGAAAAAAAAAACAATTAAATTTAGTAATTCTGACATAAATATTTGTGTGAATTTCTCACATAATTTTTAACAATTCATTAAATTTTAGTACAATAACCGCACACTGATTCTTCTCCACGATACTACCTATAACAATTTATCATCTCTGGGTATGTATATTTTATCAAGTCAACTACTTTAAATAAATTAAACTGTTGAAAAGCTAACGTATTTTGCCGACTAACAACCATAGTGACGCTCATTGCTGGTTGCTGCAAAAGTGACAAACATTGAATTCGACTGCACTGATGGACATCGGTGCCAGCAACACTCCATACTCGATCACCAACTTGCAAGCCACTTCGAGAAGCAATAGAATATGGATCAACTTGTTCTATACGCACACAGATCACTCTATAAGGAAATTTCCGTAAACCAGTACTTCTATTCAAGCTCATTTTAAAAAGTTAAAATGACTTCCTGAGCTAAAATACTGCTTCAATATGAATTTAATACTATGAAAGGATTGCTGGTCACTGAAAAGATTTCATGAATAGTATTAATAAAATGAATCTGACAACAGGATAACTATGTATCAAATATCGAGGTGATGAAGCATTAAATTATATTTTCAGCATTGTAACATGAAAATTTCGATTGTTACGTAAATCCTATATGGATCACCTTAAATAATAACCAATCAAAAATAATAAACAGTATATCTAAATATAAGAATGGGCTTAGAAGTTTCAGCTTTACAATTCTCGCGGCTTATGTGGTATCTCAACTAACTCAAGTACTAAACAGATACATAACATGCATAAGCTAATTCACATCCCTTCAAAGAGAAATATAAATCATAACATACAGAAATAAACAAATAAAATTTTACTTGTTATTATTATCATCGCTCTCAATGGCGATCCCAAGACCGAGGCGTTCTGATGGCGCAGATCGTCGAAGAATAATTTCCTTGCGCATCAGCTCGTGCTTAATGTCGAGTACATGCTTTGCGCTTACAAAAGCATTCTGCAATTTGCATAATTACGTGAATAATTAATGAAGACAATAACCAAACAATCAATATTTGATTATCATCGAATTATTAGTGTGCTACTACACTTAATTGACTACTGACTGTTTAAAAAGCTCGTACATGAAGTTAGTTATCATCCAAGAAAAAATTAAGAAGCACTTGAAAATTGTTCGGAAACCAATTATGGAAGAATGACAGGAAATATATGAAGCAATAAGCGTATGAAATTCGATGCTAAAATCTTTGAATTCTAAAATTTAATATAATTTAAACTGTTTTGCTATGACCACTTCATTAAAATTTCAAAAGTGAAAAAAAAAAAAAAAAAAAAAAACAGCAAGAAATAAACCTTTAAATATAAGATAAACCAAAAAATGAGGTAAATAGGTGAACAGATGTTGTCCAAATTGACATTTCAAGTGTGTAAGTGCATCAAATACCAATATAACTACACGGTTATATCTTCCAATAAAATTAATTAATAATAATCAGTTGACCGGAAACCACTGGGAATGCAACTAATTAGGGCAGAACGGATAAGTAAATAAGAAAATAGAAATCAAAAATCACGTTTCAGTGGTATAAGACTCTATTTTGGGTTTACTCTACTCTATATTGCAAAATTGGGAGTGAACATAAATCACATTTAATCGAAATTAGTCAAACTCAAGTTCCTAACCAAACAAATGTTAAATTCACTTTCTCGATACGTTAGAAAGAGACAATGATGAAGGTAGTTGCCATAGTCTCATCCCTACATGCCTTACGTGTTACTCTATCGCCACGTGATTTATGATGTACTACATAAGACGCTTAGAACTTAAACACAGTAATAGCCAGTTGTAATAGAATGAATGGACATTTTACGTCTACTTCAATTGGCAGACTACATGAATATCTACGTAAATATTGCGTAGACATTCACGAGAAAATCAGTTGTCTGCTTGCGCACATGTACTTTTGTAATGGGAATCATACTACTCGATGCAATCCCTTTAAATTTATAATAGGAATCAGGAAAAGTAATTTTTTTTTTTTTTGAAAAATCCGAAATCCCAGAAATTTTAGTAGACTGAAAAAAATACATGTTGATTTAAAAATGAAAATTTGTACAGCGTGATAGAGAAGATGTCAATTTCTGAAGCCAACCTACCAATACATCAATTTTTGAAGGCCATATGGAACAAAGCAATGTAGAAATTTTAAGGACAGTCTACCTGTTTATTACCCTCAAAAATTAAAATTGAAATTCCTTAGCGCTGGAAATTTCTGGAACATGGCAATGCATTAAAAATCTTATCTGAAATTCTTCAATAGCAACATTCATTTCATAACTTTTAAATTGAGAAATGACACATAGGCATTGCTGATTGTTAGTGAATCCGACGAATTCTCTATCACACCATTTCCTCAACACTTAGTGCCAGAGGAAGAGAATCAAGCAGTTGTCAAAAAATCATCAAAAGGTCAGTTAACAGTAGATCTCAAAAGATTATGACTGAGATCTATTCCATCTGCTCTATTCCATCTGATGTGCTTACTGCCTTTTAAAGGATAAAAGGCTTTAACTCAATCTCGAGTTAAAGCCTTCTACCGGCCTTTTAAAGTTTGATTACAACAGATTCTATAAGCTAAAGTACTACTAAAATACTAGACTTTAACTCTTTAACTCGAGATTAATCTAATATTGCATTCGACAAAACATACACCATAAATTTTGAGCAAAACTGAGTTTTGTAACCCCAATGTTCGATCCACATTTAATATTTACAGATCAGGAGAACATTTTTTACTAAAAAAAGAGAAAAAAAAAACAAGGGAAAGTAAACTGTCATAACATGAGTCAAAAAAGGAAGTCAGTAGGAAAGAAAATGAAAAAAAAAATAAATGAATATTACTAATACTGAATGCGTCCTCCGCATTCATATGGCATTATAAAGCCTCACAACTCAGCTCTGTAAAGGTATTGAAAGTTTAGCACGGTTTCGGGGATATTACAACAGAAAACTATATGTCAAATGTTTATCGACTGATCTTTTTATATGGTATAAATTGCAGGTGGAACTAATTTAGTCCGCACTTGATATCTGCCACAATGATTTCTCACTTTTTTAAAAGCAGTTATGAAGAAAAATGAAATATAAATGGTATGAGAAGTAGCTAGGAGTTCTTTTGAATAATTCATGGTCATTGTGTTGTCATTTAACCGAGACATTGTGTGCGCTATATATAATTTGTATAAATATATATATAATCAAGGCCTAATTTTTAATGAAACTTGGAAGAAATTTGGAAACAGATCTTAAAAAGTACCTCTTTTCAGCCTTCCCTCTTCACTCGAAATGTCATCAGAATGAAATCAAGTAAAAGTCGAATAAAGGTAATTAACAGAAAAGTTAACAATAAATGCAGACAAAAAGTGAAGTGATATGCAGAGAAATACTCTTCCTATGGTTCTTAAAAGTAAGCTTCTAACTGATTATAGTATGCTTAAGGCTTAAGCAGTTAACTATCTTACACTTAATTCCATCAGTTTTGAAAAATGGATAAAAAGAAGCCGATGGTCTAAGGGAAAAGCGAAATTGAAGAAAATGATAAGCGACGAGAACGAATATAATTATATGGTAGGAGTACAGCACTGCATTGCACTTCGTGACACCAGATGCAAATTAATGCTTTCTCCGAAACTCACTCTCCTCGAACAATATGATGAATCTAGATTTTTGGAAGCTTTTTTTCAAAGACGGACGGCTATGCTTTAACAAAGTCCCTGATCAACAGCTGGATTTATTATTATTCACCAGAATTATAACTATGGAAGTTGAAAGATAATCAGGAGACATATTATCGAATGAAAAAGTGCACCTTCAATCGGAAAATCCTATACATTTCAAGCTAATGTCTAAATTTCTGAAATCTGTCCTTTAATATGAAGCTGTATAAGCGAAATACAAATTTCCTTGCTACACTTCACAGAAATACAGTCCACTTACCGCACCGAGACTATCATGCATTTTTAGACGTTCACTTTGAACCAGAATCGCAGATCTGCGGCATGCAGTACTTGCTGATGTTGTTGCTGCTGTTATTAATGATCCATCTACAATGCATTTCTTTGCACCTTCATACCTACTACCATTGGCCATCCTGAAAAACCTTTCTTTTTCTCTTATAATTATTCCATTAAAAGAATACGAATAAATATTCTTAGTATAATAAATCATGAGTGAAAATGACGGGTAAAATGTCGAAAGGTTAGCAAATAACCGGAAGTAAACAAACAGTGGATGAATCAGAAATGACGAAAACATTTTTTGTAGTTTTGTAGACCATTTTGAAGATGTACTATTAATCTATAAGTGAACAGAATTCATTAGAACAGACATTGCTTATTATTATATTAAGAATTTATTTTATTTTAATGGAATAATGCACTCTTCATTTCTAATTCATTTTTCTGTTCATTACTTTGAATTAACTATTAATTGCAACTTTTCAGTGGAAGGATAGAACTAATATTGATTGGTTTGATATATAAGATAAGACAAGAATATTTTAAGCATAAATTTATGAACGAAATGACATAAGCTGTTCCAATACGCGAAGATTATTTTGGATTTTACAAAGTTATTTTGAAAACTCATATTTCCTTGCAGAGACTGGAAAAAGCAATTTTGATGGGTATTAAGTACAGTAAGAAAATAAAAGAAGCGGTTTTGACATAACTTCAACTTATTATACAAAAATTACGGATTTTAAAATCTTAAGTTCAAATTTTGAGATTAAACAAAACAGAATAGTCGATGATTCATAATAATCATTGATCCTTAACTGTTCTACAAAAAGCTAACTTTGTTAATAACTTTGGGATGTTAGCTTTTAAGTATAGAACTGGAGAATTCCGATCAATCAAGAACCTTAAAATTTAGAATTCTTTTGCGCTTCAACTCTTAAATTTTATTGATGATTCCTTTACTCACTATATATCTTTATGTGGTAACAAACATCACTGAAATGAAAGATCGTAAAAGATCCTGTCCTTGCTTCATACATCAGATTTTGATAAAATTCGTAAAATGCAGTACGTCAGTTTTTGATTTGTGAAGGTTCTTTTAGTACAATCGAGAATTCTGTTCTGTTTCGATGAATTCGGGATATTTCGACGAATGCAAAGAGTTACATCAATTTTTGTATTCTTCTTGAATATTTGCAACGCTTCCGAATGTGTCTTCCCACTCAACTCCACTCCATTAACGCTCAAAATTTCATCGCCTAAAATTTTTAAATGTCACAAAACTGACTCTTTAAATTAACTAGTTTTATTCTAAGTTTTTAGACTGGTATGCATGTTATATTCGAGAAACTAAGGAAAGTGCATGGAACTGTTTAAAAGCATAAATCCAGAAATAATAAGATTAATTACAATCTGTTAGTCATCAATCGGTTTGTTCCTATTTTAGATTTCCACCTTGACTAAATTAAAATTGAAATTCAGCACTTTTTCCAGTTAAAAAAGTTTGAAAGTCTACTCTTTAGAAATGCGGTTTTTCTTCCGAAACTTAATGAACTTTTCAAATGAGTAGTAACAGGAGATTCAAGTAGATCATAAAAGTAATTGTTATGAAGAAGAAATACTCTAGACCGATCGATGTTCATTTAGCGGTATTCTCTAGTAATATTTATCTAGCTGTAGAGGAAGTTCCCTAAAGAAGTCCACAAAAAGTATTGCACCTTTCCTTTTTTTGAGGAAAGGAAGAAGAAAAAATGACAAATATTTTCCGAAACTTTTAAAGTATTTAATGATTAAAAAAAGTTTGATTTCTGTTCAATTCCATCCGATCGTACTTTTCTGCGACAAAACCAATTTTATTTACCTTTACAAACAAGGCCACTTTTGGCAGCCAGTCCATCGGCGAAGACAGTTTTAACAAAGATTCCCATGGGACCGCGCGGTGAATCGATGCCACCTACGATACTGAAACCCAATGGGTGTCTGGAGGGTTGCTGCTGTTGTGAACAATTTGAACTTGAAGATTTCGATGTATCCACATTTCCGCGATACAGCACAATTGTTCGTATTCGACTGTTCATCACCTATCACTTTTTGAGGAATTTTAGTAATGAAAGCAAAGCTGTACGAAACCGAGTGTACCATTTGATTACAACTCAATAGTTAACTTTGTATCAGTGTTTGTCCCATGCGGCTTATGCGCTTTACACTGAACAATACATAAGTGAACAATTAAAAGAGAAAGGATTACTTTGATAAGTCATCTTTATATAAAAGTTTAGCTATGGATATTTAAAACTCGTGCATTGAATTCTCAAACACGTACAGTTTGTTTCCAACAATTTCAATTTCCTGTATACTCCAACTGCAGAAAATGATGTTAGCATTTAAATATACAACTGCTTTATTCAGTACTTGTAAAGAATTGTCACTAAGATTTCCCGGAAAGAATCCTCCTAAAGTGATATGAGCTAATTAATGAGTCGATTTCGCTGTCACTATCAAATTGCACAACTAGTCTTTCCATCTTTTCATCTTCACAGAATATGGATAGCAGATCACTGAATAGGAAGAGGAAATGATTATGTTTAAGAAATATGACTTCACTAGATGTCATAGCGAAGATTCCTCTTATAACTAATTGTCACAATGCATTTCTTAAGTTTACATAGCATGCATTCTTAAGTTTACATGGCATGCAGTAAAAGACTTAAGTTATCAACAGTATCTGATCATTGGACGCCTTCTGACAGAAGTGAAATTTGAGTCAACTTATCACATAGCATCTTGCAAATGAAGCTTATCATAATTGCTATTATTCGGCTAATAATCCTCCGAAAATATACTCTTCACACAGTCTACGATGAAGTGAGTAAGACAGATTTCACGAAAAAAGTATGTGTACATATATATATATATATGATCTCATTATAAAATAAGGATTTCATATAAAATTATTAAATCATTGATAAATTAAGGAAGAAAGAAGTGAAATAAAAAGTTATTAATTTCAAGTATGACTTGAGGATGAAATTATATTAATGTAAGGAGACGAAAGACATTCTCCAATAAGGAATATAAGAGATATTTGAATTCGAAAGAAACTGTTAGTTGATATACCGTTGAGGTATTGGTTAATAGGTTAGAGAACGAAATAAATATAGCATTCTGATGGGAGAAGTGTCGTTAAGTAATGACAGTCATGTTCAGATTGTTTTTGAGAAAGAAGAAAGGAAAAGAATGTTGTGGCGGACGAGGGAGCGAGAAGAATTGTTCTTATTTTTTTTCTTATTTTTTCACGGTTTTTTGAAAATGTTTGAAAAAATACATCCCAGTATTAATTTTTTATTTTCAACCAAAACCGTCCTCCATTGACAGTAATTCTTGGGAGGTTACTCACTTGTGGTCGTTTGTCAACATCTCTTGAAATCTAGTGTTTAACTGAGATTCTTTTCATTAATGTATTTCCAGTATACAATAAATTCAATAACATAAATTAACAATATAAAATTAACAACACAAATTCATGAAATTTTGAATACATTTAGGAATACCACTTTGATTATTTAAGTCAGTAGTTACTTTTGAGAAAATGCTTTTTTTTTTATAAGGACTGTAGCAAAACGTGACATTAAATTCGTAATGAGGATAAAGCTTTTATCGAGATTAAAATTAGGGAAATGTTGGTTCAACAATGTCCATCTAATTGTAGATGAAATGCTTGCTAAATAAATGACAAGACAATAATTGAACGAAAGATACTGCGGAGACAGCAAGCTTGAATATTCAATAGTCCTAAGGAGCTAAAGCTGTTTTAAAACAGTTAGCTGAAGTAAAGAAATAAAAGGAAAAATTAGAAGGATTCTGAAAGTAATAACATACTAATAAAAGTTATTCTAAATTGATTGTTTGTAATCAAATTTCCGCTCCAAAGTTGAATTTATCTTCCAGTGGCAATTTTAGAATACCTGATAGTTATTGGTAATAGCATATATTAAAAAGTAATTTTAGGTTAATATAACAAAACTTTGAGCAAATTTTATTAGAATTTATTTTAAAACAGATATTTGATTTTGAATACTTTGGCATTTGCTTTAAATATTTCGAGTGTATCTTATTCAAATGATAATTGCAGTCCTCAACATTGACTTAGATTCTATACAAAGTCACAGCGGTTAATTTTCAGGAAAGCTATCTTACTATATTTATCGAGAATTTGGAACAAATTACAGGAAAGTGGAAACATAAGCTACCAGTGAATTTTGTTTGAAGCTACTTATTCAAAAATACGACTACTGTTAAATTATTGGCGTTAATGGTTCAGAACATTACTGCTATAAACATTAATGAGCGAGGACATTACCACTGTTTGGTCAACATAATGATAATATCATGAAGAAAGGATCATGAAGAATGAATTATCAGGAGAATTTAAAAGAATGTGAGCAGATGATAGCATGATGTCGGAAGCGGTAGTGTGTTAATAATATCCAAAAGAGAAAAGTAAAGCGGTAATGACTGGAAACGCGCATCGAATTCATCGAGTGAGGGTCAAAGTATTCTCATTGTCCCTTGTCCTCTCGACCACTTCAAAGGCGCACTGAAGAGGATGACACTTCGTCCTTTGTCGCAGTCAGTCCCTCCACAGAGCATGCTCTCAGTGGAACAGTCACACACATGCGCCTGTGCAAATGCTACCACCTTGTCCAGAGCAACCGATGGTTATTGGCACCGCGAACAGGTGCTATTGAGAGTTGCGAATTTCCTTGCTCACACAGTAGTTTCTGTTCCTTCTCTCCTCTTGCATCTCTTCTAACTGCAATTGTCATCTCATCCAACGCAAGAACTATTTGGCTTGCACTGACTTATTTGCGCTTCATGTCACCAGAAATATCTATTCTATCCTCTCTGATATACTGATTTTTAATGACGCCTACATACATTTCACCTCTCCACGTAACATTCATTGGCAAAATTCAGAACATGACTCGCGCACCATTCGATGCAATGCATGCTACGTGCAGAATGTCGAGAGTTTGAGTGCCTGAATTAGACGGAAGGATGAAGAAGTCGTGGTAAGATAGAAGATGACCTAATTAGTGATAAAAATGATCCAAGGATTTTAGATCGAGTTCACAAATTGAATTTGAATGTTTAAATTAAATGTAGAAGCATTGAGTTGTTTAAATTTGTTTTCGTTTTGATGCGAATCATTTTTAAAATTTAAAAAAAAGGCTTGAAAAAACCTTTCCATCTCTTTTTTTCTAAATTAGAAATTAAACTCTGCCCATATAAATTGCTTATCAACCAAACGAATCATCGTCACAAGATTGTTATATGAATGAAACTTCAACTTTTTATATTAAGGGTTTAGCAAATTAAGATTTAAACTATTTCTTCTTCTGGTCACTGCAAAATAAAGCAGACATAAGTGAGAGTGCGATGACACCCACACACATACTGGTCAATCAAAAAAGAGTATGTATTTTGCTGATGAGCTCTCAGGGAGGTCATCACTGCTGGCAGTATGCGACAGAAGACGCAACACTCTTGCGATGGTCGCCGTGTCCAGTTTTGTTTGAAAAAATATCAAGCATTTATACCTACGTTACATCGCATAATTCGATTTAAACTTGGAAATTAAAAAAAAACACGAAACCATCTTAAATAAATCATCGGATTTATTCATTCAATTAATTATGAAATTGGAAAGAGTGGAAGGCAATAAAAACTCAATATTAGAAAATGTTTTTATGTCTACGATGAAAATGATATCTATTGATTAATTGTCGAGAAAGAAAAGGAAGGGAAAAAAGAATGATGAAAAAGCAGAATGACAATAGAAAATGGAATTAATTGTAAAGTAAAAAAGAGAGAAACAGAGAGGTATGTTGGGTGGATAAATGACATAACCTTAAAAGATGTTTGGCAATTCTATTCTCATCTGTAAAAATATATATATATATATACATGTTCTTTCCTTTGACATAACAAATTAAAGACTGAAATGTAAATTAATTGTCATCTAAAAGGTTGAAAACATCTTATAGTTCGTCAAGGTCAATGAATTTTGCGTTGCAGACGCTCGTTATAAGAAATCATCAATTCTATTTGTTTCTCTTTTATGGTTGAAAATTTTGTATTTCTTTAAGTCTAGCATACCAAAAAAATTCCTTTTGTTCTCAAACCGAATCCATAAATCCGGTACTGGGTCAGTTTGGACTGATAATGACTATTTATAATAACAATAAAATTAATTTGTAAGTTAAGTTAAACATTCTCATGTGTAACGTTGTTGTCTTTTTGCGTTTTTTTTTTTACTTTCAAAATAATTAAGAAAAGATTTAGAGAATTCGTAAGGAAGGAAGAAAAAGAAAATAGTGATAGATGGCGATATAAATGGTTTTCTAAAGTAAAGACACACCTAAAAAACTTGATTGACACAATACTTCTTTTCATGTTTCTTCTATTTTTTTTGCACTTAAAAGTCAAAAAATTTGTTAAGTACCATTCCGACCAAATGTTAAAGCATGTATTAACATACGACAGACTTTACTTTCAATATATGCAGTCATTTCCAATTTGTTTACTTATCCAGTTAAAGTAACAGGTATGAATTAATTGATGCACTTTATATGCTGCTGGGATAACAGCTCCTGTTTACCTAAAAAGATGGCTGTTACTGTCTGAGGCACTTTGAACCAGTAGAAAAAGATCAGACGGAAAGAAATTAGGCAAATATGATTCAAAAATGATTATCATCGCTTTAAGTTAAGAATATTCGAAAGACATAAGGGATGTGGTTAATAATTAAAAAAGCATAATTGTTAAGGAAATTTGCTACGATCACGTCAACATTCAAAAAAAAAAAAACAAACGTCACAATACAGATTAAGGGAAAACCAAAATTAAAAACATAAAATTTGACGATCTCTTATGAATTTTGTTCCTTGGTTTGAATCTGAATTTCAAATTTAAGTTCGATAAGAAAAGACCAAACACTTCTGATAAAAGGGGAATTTTACCACTACAATAATTACAATAAAAAGAATAGCCAAAAAGTATTATCTCATTTTGGAGA